ATATTGTTTGCGTATTTGTTTAACAGACTTAGTTGAAGATGGGGTTAAATTTTAGAAATCCATAGTAAATCCACTTTTTTCTTATAACTTTTTCGCATTTTAGCCATATGGTGTGTATTATAAGACTTCCTTTTGTCCAAGCATCTCTTATATTAAAACTTGTTTTTTTTTTCTGTCTCATTTTCTTCTGAAAAGAGTCAATCACAGATTCTAAAAAGATGAAAGAATGGCTTCATGCTAATAACTCAGTTTGCAATAAAAAAAATCTGTTCAAACCAAAAGCTGTGTGTAAAAAAATCATGTATGTCATTTGTTGCTTTGGCACAGGAAGGTTTTTAGGAAGACACAATAATATAAATTAAGTTAAAAATGCAGTATACAGTTGAAGCCAACGTCAATAAAACATAATTTAGCCAAACAATGCTGATGTCAACAAAGTAAAAGAAGTGGTGGGTGCTAGGACTAGTCTGAGTTGAATTAGTGTGTTGTTTTCTTGAACACACTGAAATAGCTTAGGTGTTGCAACCTGGTTACAACACTGAGGCTGTTCCTCTTCACAGGGTTTCATTAACCGCATCTCTGGAAGAAGCTGCAATTAATCTCAGAACATACTGCACTTTTAAGTCTTTGTTTGTGTTGATTTCAAAAATGTATACTGAGCAATATTATGTTTGACTGCATCTGGTTATTGCTTGAAAAGTGAGCAGAAATATCCATTTCTGTAAGAATTTTCATATTTTACTTAGTGTCACTCTCTCTTGCCTCTAACATACAGTTTACTTTTTATAAAAGAGATTTAAAGTTCTAATTCTTTAGGTTGTACCACTTTAACTGCTTAACTGTCATTGGTTTAGAAGTCTCTCTCTTTCTCTCTCTCTCAGAAAGAAGTTTATCTGCCAGCTGCAGTGTGACAAACAGTAAGCAGAAAACTTTTACTGAGCATCACAGTTTATTGTTTGTTTTAATGTTTCTTTATAAATCCTATACTGATGTTTTAAGGCGGAGATGATATCAGGGAGAATGAAAACTCTTCTGAAGATTCTGTGTCTTTTCATAGGTAACATTTTTTATTTTTCCATTTTCCATTCATTTCCATAATATTTTCTGTTTGATAGACATATACCAAACTTCGAATATATTAGATTTATTGATGATCTATAAGTTATATTTAGAAATGTACAGATGAGCATCCCGTCCATCAATATAAGCATAATGCAACTGCGTTTGAAGATTTTTTGAGAACTTCTTTGCATTTAGTTGTCTGATGATTGTTTCTATTTTTGAAATTTGAATGGGTCAAAATGTAGGCTATAAAGAATGATTTTTATGTAAGTGTCTGTTTAAGCTAACTGAAAAACTGACTGTGTTTTCTCTATTTTTGACCGGTGTGTTGATGAAGTCTGGAAATGTTTATGAGGGAACAGTGGGTGAAACGGTGGAGATCAGATGTCCATATCTAGATGACTATAAATATACACCCAAGTACTTTTGCCGTCATCCCTGTAAATCTGATCGTGTTTTGATTAAAAGTGCAAAGTCTGATCAGGTCGTCTCAAATGGAAGATACTCTTTGATTGATATTGTGAGTGGACTGTTCTTTACTGTAACCATCAAACATCTCAGACTCACAGACTCTGGTGTTTATCACTGTGGAATTGATCAATGGTTCAGTGATACACTGAATAAAGTTCATCTGTTTGTCCGTCCAGGTGGGTATTTATGCAAACAGTTTGTGAATAACATAGCATATACATGTATCTTCCCATTTAAATATTTCACAAAAATGTTTATTATACTTAAATTCCTCTTTTTCTATTTTATTCTCAGCAGCTCCTGTGAGCAGATCTACACACACCCCTGAAAACACACATATAACATATATATGGACAACAACACTCACCTCTACAGGTACAAGTTCATCCATTCAGCAAATACCATCAACAGTCCATTCGCCAGGTTCCACTACTCCAGTCAACAGCACTGGTAACTCTTCTTTTTTTTATACCTGTTCGTTTATGTTACTGTTACTGAATTCTTACAATAACAGTAATTGGTCATTTATTTATTTTTATTTATTGTACATTAGCTTATTTTATCACTGCACTCACACTGCAGCAACTGAAATACTGTAGTAATTATATGATCTTGTTCTTTTTATTCCAGTTGATGTCACTGTGGTTTGTGCAGGTGTTCTGTCATTCCTGGGTTTCTGTATCCTTGTGGCTTTAGTGGTTATTTACAGAAGATCAGATGCAAAGTCCAGATGTAAGATTACAAACACACATTAAGACTTTAACTGCATAATGTATTGGTTTAACAACCCCCAAAAAAGAGTTGATAGTAATTAACTACTTGTTTAAAACCTATCAAATAAAAAAAAAGTGATTTAAAAAGCATTTTTATAACATGTTTCCATGATGCTTCCAAACGTCATTCTTTAACAATGTCTCATATTCCATAGGATTTTATATAATTCATTCTGACCTTTTAATGATAAATGAAATCTAACATTATTTCTATTATTCATATTTCTATTATTCACATGTTGATGCTATGAAACCTCACACCACTGAAGATACAGCTGAAGATCCACCAGACTTCAACCAGGTATGAAAACCTCTCTGTGTGGCAGCAAGAAGAAATTTGCACCAAACAAATTTATCTGATAAATCTATCAAAAGAAGAAAAAAAAGATCATCATTGCATGCATTTACATTTTAGTTTTTAGCTTTGAATGTTTTGTGAAGTTAAATATCTTGAAAATGCAGTGTTGAATCTTTACTGTATGAACTCCTCGTTTTCTTTTTCTCTCTGTCAGGCTGTGGAAGATGGCTGTTACCTCTGTGAAGAAACAATGGTAGTGTATAGTTTGGATGATCCACCTAAAGAAGACAGTTTTTCTCTAATCCATTCAACTGTATATTACTGTGATCGGATGACTCAGAAACAAAGTCATTCTGGAAAATACAGTTTCTGTAATAAGTCAATAAAAAAATAAATAGTTTGCAGAGTATCTTAAGCCATCCATTAGTCTGATGACCAAATGAACATCAGTTCACCATTTCCTGGGTGGCAGATCAGTTGCTCTGCTGCATTTAATTTTGACACTGTTGCAGAGCATTAGTAGTGTATGTGGTCAAAGAATAGAACATTTTGCAAATGTTTGTGTCTGTCAGTTGCAAACAAAATAAGGAACTGTCACTTACCGTTGACCTATGAATATCTGTGTAGTCGCTCATAGCCTAATTTACGGTGGTCAAATATTATAGCCTATGTTGAATATGTATGAGCACTAAATTGACAGTTTGGTGATAAAGCTATAAAGCTTTTAATTTCCTTGGCAGAACAAAGTCAAATTTTATCTCATAGCTGAAGGGTTCTCAAACCTTTTAACCATATGCCAGGTTTCCACTTGTTCAAAAGTAATAAACAAGGATTCTTTTTAAATGACTTTATAGCCTATCTATTGCACTAATCAAACAATATATAGAAGATGACATATTTTAGAATTATTTATCATAAATAAATTAAAGTACTTTCCATTGACGATGTCTCTTTAACCCGTTCGTGACTGTAAAGTGTGTCAGGCCAGCCTTCCGCGCGCTGCAGTGACGTTTGCATCCGCGAGAGTGACCGGAGTCTGAGCGCGCGGCGGAGCGGCGGGACACGGTGAGTGAACTGTTAATAAATTCCCGAACCACCGCGACCCGGCACGGCCATGCACAGTTACATTCACAAGCTCGCGTACTAAACAGCGTGTTCCTGGTTTGGGAGTAAGGTCGCTCAACAAAATCTTGTGTAAGGAACATGCTAACGTGCTAGCGCGAGCTAATGAGGCGCAGGCCAGGTGACTGAGCAGAGTTAACCCGCTCAGCAGCGCTAACTGCCTGTTGGAGTTCACACGAAACGCCGGTGCGTTTACAGGCCACGGTCTCTGCAGTGAGCAGACAAAAAAAAACAAACATTTGTCCGCATGTTAACGGTGAAATATTTGACGTGTGCGTTGAATGGGAGTACTATGTGCTGGTTAATAAGTTAAACTCTGAGTGTTTATATTTAAACTGCGTTTTGATGCACATATGAACTCTCGGTGTCCACACTGGCATACAGTCTCACTCGACAAGTGACCAAAATGACATTACACTACAGCTGTTAGTGTAGACTAGAGGAAGGTTTCGTGCAGACTGGATCCTACAGCTGTAGAGGAGATGCAGTCTTGGTGACACTAATTTTATTTAACCGTCAACCGTCTAGTGGAGACATTGGACAACTGTACACCTGTTGCAGTTTTATCTGTATTTGTGATGTTTGGTTTAATCTGATCATATTTAAAGGTGTAAACAGGGAGTAAGTCAAAAAAGACTAATAGATTAATATCACTGGTATGGAGAATGGCAAACTCGTGAAATTGCTTATAGTGATTGACATTTATACCTTCATTTGGACCTGTTTGAATTTACGCAGGGCTTTTTTTCGTTTCATTTTCTAGAAATTTATAAGTTAATCACAATCACTGAAAATATTGCTATGCCTACCATTAAAGGTGCAATAGGTGATTGTCTTAAGAAACATTTTTTGTTATGCTGGTTGAAAGTCTCTTCACATCCCGATAGCAATCATTAAGTTAAGTGGTCTAAATGTATTTGTCTGTATTTATATATTCTGTGGAAGGCATAGGATCAAGAAATGTTCGTCCAATCAAAACGCTCGGTCCGAGCGTTTTAATATGCTTTCCTACCTGCCTGTCAACGTATGTATCTGCATACCTCTGCGCACCCGGTTCGCGCAGACAAGATACGTCATCAGCGCGTTCACGCACGCTGTGCAGACAGAGCAAGAATGGCAGACAAACATCAACAACCCGATCTTCCTTCCTGGTATTGTAGTATTTTTAAAGTTTTCTCACCGGTGAATGACACATGATGTAGCCCAGCGGTTAATCCAGTCCTCGCACCAGCTCGTTAGAAGTGAGCTACGTGCGTGAACTGTGTTCCGATCGATATGATCCCTACAAAGTGTTCATTGCTCCCTACTCACTGAGCACGGAAATCCGTTAAAGTTTACTTCACTTCGGAACATGGGCTGGAATTGGGAACCGCTGAAGTAGCCTATTGTAGTAATGTTGTCTCTGGTATTCTGGTCTGTGAGCGTAAATGCGTTCAGGGGGCGTGGCTTTGGACGGCGATTGCAGGGAGGGTGGGACGTTCGCTTTCAGTGCTATCAGGCTAAAGTTAGCATTTTCCAAGATCTCCTACTGCACCTTTAACTTATTTGCTTATTTACTGAACAAGATGAGATTTTAGGAGGGTAGGACAGTATGGAATTACTTTTGTGCCAATAAAATGAATGTAACTTATGAAAATATAAATTGAAACTGACAAAAATGTCTTTGAAACTGAAAAAATAAAATAAATCTCAGGCAAAATCTTTTAAAAAAGTTTTTAATACACTGCATGCTTTGCTAACTGTTTTCTCCTCTTTCTTTCACTGATCTGTACTTACAAATGCACTTCCAGAGTTTTCATTTACGCTTCAGGTTAGGGTTGCACCAGCCATTTGTAAGTTTTGACTTAAATTAGAACGTTAAGTCCACACTAGAGGTTAAATAACTACTAGCTAGTTTGAAACTAAATCTATGCATTATTCGGTTGCACCAGTAATTCATAAGGCAGGACGTAGCTAGTAGTTTGTAAGCTCTCAGTAAAGTAATGCGTAGTCGCATAATATGACGTTTACCCTAAATGATCCAATAGAATCCTTCAAATACACGAGCAGAACTTGTTTTAATGTTGTGAATTTCAATTTATCATTCATTGTAATTTATTTTGCCTCATGTAACTAACAGTAAAAATAAGTTTCCATTAAAAACAATGCTTAATCTTGAATTGAACATTAGCCTTTAGGTAGGCTATTTTTATATGTAAATAACATTCAGAAACTGTAATTGAAATATAATATAAGTATCAATAAATACTGAAAAAAACCCATAAGAAATGCCATTTATTTATTATTACTGATTTCATTTGACATGCACAACATGGAAAGAAGCACACAGATGCGCTGTAGCTGGGGTGTTGAAGAAGCACTAAAAAAGAAACAGTACGTTTATTCACAAATTTTTCTCTCAAGATATCGGCATCGGCTGTCAAAAAACCAATATCGGTCGACCACTAATGCTAATCCAAGATCAGCATAGACTAATAAGAATAAAGTGCAACCGCTTGTGTACTTGTGAACTGTGTTTGTTTTAATCTAGAGCTCCAAAAACATTTAAATATTTGCATAATATCAGGTGTGTGAAGATCAAGATCCCAGTCATTCAAAGGTGATGTGTGTCGCCCCCCCC